TCTCTCTTTGTCCAATCTCCTTTCAATCTCCGGCAATCTAAAACTTCCGACGCGATTCTCGGGTCGTCGGAATAAGGTGAGGAAACTTCAGTTTTATCCAAAAGCTCCTAAATCTGTGGATACTACTCTCAGTCTGCAACTTGTATTCGAGTTTCATAGCATTTGCGGTTTTTGGGTTTCGTAGATTTGATCCTTTGAGAGCATTTTGGGTTTTCGTTTTTTTTTGTCACAGGAGAGAGATGGAGATCGATAAAGCGATTGGAGAAAGCGATGATAAGAGGTTGAAGACGAAGTACAATAACGCTATCTTCGTCATTAAACGAGCTCTTGCTCTTTACTCGTGAGTTCTTATTGCTCTGGTTTCTCTTACTTCATTAAAAGTCATCGATCTATAGATTCATTTTCTTGAAATTTGACCATTGTTCGTTGGATGTGATTTTATCTTTGAGAATCGAAAAAGATGTCATATTGATGGTTTCACGTTTTTTGGAAGTTGTGCAAAGAATTTTGTGGTTTGAGAGAAGCTCTTTCCTTTCTTAGGATGGAGTTTAAGTATACGACGATATTCGCAATGATTTTGCTTTAGTTCTTGGTAGTTTGCTTAGATGGTACAGGTTTTGTCTACCATGTCCATGGTTTTCTTGAAAAGAGTGATAAAGATTCATGGATTTGTCAAGTATAATCACATTTGTTAGAGGATCAATTATGATGATGGATCTTCGTTTTTAGTCTTTCTTTACTTTTTATAAACAAGATTTGTATGGTACTCAAGATGTTTGGACATTGTTTTAGTCTACAAGTTCGCCACACGCCAAATCATCATGATAAAGGTCTGTCTACTTGGCTGCAAACCCTTTTTCAATCATAGAGAGATTTTGGTGTTTTTTTAATCGATTGGAATGGAGCAGTTATAATTTGTCAATCTAATCCAATAATGTGGAAAAGTTTTGTACTGTTTGGAAACTAAAGTTGCTTTATGTTCATTTCTTGTTTTGCCATGTGCTTGTCGGGTTCATTGTTTGATGCAATTTACTTTACTGATTCTTGAATGTATCGAACTTGTCGAATTCTGCAGTATTGAAGAGGTTGCCTTTAGTTTCAATGGAGGAAAAGATTCGACTGTAAGTTAAAACTGTCGCCTTCCAAAAAGTCCCCTGTTTTGATCTTTTCTTTTTTCCTTGTTTCCTGGTTAATAATGATAACTCTCATCATAATTTTAGGTGTTGTTGCACCTTCTCAGAGCCGGCTATTTTTTGCATAAGAAAGAAGTGAGTTGTTCAAATGGAGGTCTATCAAATTTTCCAGTCCGGACCATTTACTTTGAGAGCCCTTCTGCATTCACTGAAATCAATGCATTTACATATGATGCAGCTCAAACGTAAGAAATGTTTTGCTCCTCCGCATTCATTTTTCTTACTAGTTTTTATATTTGAAACTGTATTCGTCAGCATTTCGGGTAAGATTGTTAGCTAATCATCTTATGATGTATGGACAGTTACAATCTACGACTTGATATCATTCGCCAAGATTTCAAATCCGGGTTGGAGGCATTATTAAAGGCCAACCCTATCAGAGCTATTTTTCTTGGTGTCCGAATTGGTGATCCTACTGCGGTTAGCTCAACTTCAAATCTTCAGTCTCAAGATTCAGATGCAAATGTTTTGTTATATTAGTAAAAAAATGTGGTCACTGTGATTGATCGCTTCTCATTGAATTTTTGCAGGTTGGTCAAGAGCAATTTTCTCCTAGTTCTCCTGGATGGCCGCCCTTCATGAGGGTGAATCCTATATTGGATTGGTCATATAGGTTTCTTTTTTCTCTTTAATTATATCTTCTTATTGCTTTCTCTGTTGGTTGTTTTTTCTTCTTAAAATGTTTCTTTTGCAGAGATGTTTGGGCATTTCTCCTAACGTGCAAGGTCAAGTATTGCAGCCTTTATGACCAGGGGTAAAAGTCCTCTCCATGGTTTGATGTTTTAAAAGTTTTTTTTATCTCTTGCCCAGTTCGTCTTATTTTGTGCTTTCTTTCTGAATATTCAGATACACATCAATTGGGAGTATTCATGATACTGTTCCCAACGCGTTATTGTCTGTTAACGACAGCAGCAGTAAAGAGAAATTCAAACCAGCTTATTTGCTTTCTGATGGGAGGTTAGAGAGGGCAGGGCGAGTCAAGAAAATTGCTTCAGTTAAGAATGACGTAGATAGTGATTCACAAAAACACGAGGTGCTTTTGGCCTCGGTTATTGCTGTTGGGGATGAGATTCTGTAAGTCATTAATTCTTATTATAAGGCTTTTTATTGGTAGTTATATATGTTAACAGAACAATATGGTATATATATGACAATAGAGTTAGACCAACCACGCGTTGAAAAGGGTCCTGCTCGGTTACTTATTCTACTAGGTGCAATGAAATTCTTCCAACCCATTTATCTGTTCCATAGCTCAGGTCTGGCACTGTTGAAGATCAATTAGGACTGTCTCTGTGTAAAAAGCTGACTTCTATTGGTTGGTCGGTGCAACAAACTGCTGTTCTTCGGAATGATGTGAGTGAGATTTACTCATTGTCTTAATTGCATCAACCAGAGAAAGTAAATTGTTTCTATCTCTATAAACGTTTCACTGTGTCTCTTTAATCAGATAGATTCTGTATCCGAGGAAGTTGATCGCCAAAGGTCTATCTGTGATATGGTAAGTCCTTTAAACAGATGAGCATAAAATTAAAGAGAGGTCTTCTCTTGGTAAGATATAACTGACAGATTTCATGTGCTTGATGCTTTTGGAGGTATTCATTTATGGAGGAGTTGGTCCTTTGCATTCTGATGTTACTTTGGCTGGTGTTGCTAAGGCATTTGGGGTTCGCCTGGTACGTATCTCTTTCACTTGAACACAATCTCATGGTTAAGATAGTTTGATAAATGCCTTAACATCTCTATGCATCTGAATGTCAATAAATGGAAAAAGATCACCACAATTTGAGAGGCTAATAATGTCGTTTATTCAGGCACCTGATGAAGAGTTTGAGGAATACCTTAGGCATCTTATCAGCGAGCAGTGCACAGGTGACAGGAATGAAGTGAGTTCAGTCTCGAGAATGTTCTTTTTAGTGGATTTATATATCTTCAGCAATATAAGCTCAGCTTTTATAGTATCAGAGTCGCTTTGCTACGGTTTATCCTCATTCCATATATTGTTGCTGCGTGTATGGTTTCTCATCAAGCTGATTGCATTTCTCTTTTCAGATGGCTCAGTTACCAGAAGGAATTACTGAACTACTGCATCATGAAAAGCTTTCGGTGCCATTGGTAGGTGCTCTTAGAACTCCATTAAAAGATGAAATCTTTTAGCATACTCCTTCCATACCCATTTCGATTTTCTTTTGATATTTACCATCAATTTCTGTAGATCAAGTGCCGCAATGTGATTGTTCTTGCTGCTACAAACACTGAGGAACTAGAGAAGGAGTGGGAATGTCTGACCGAGCTAACTAAACTGGGTGGAAGTTCATCACTCATGGAGCTATATGCGTCAAGGCGCTTGATGACATCTTTAACAGATGTATGTTTTGCTTTCCACTGCACCTTTCTTTCGCCATGGCTTTGCTTTGAGCAGATTAAACATTCATTACTTCTTCGCTTTTCATGCAAGAATCTGTAGTTCCTGATAGATCCATGGAGATATGTGTAGTCACTTATAGAATTTTTTTTACTAGTTTCTTTTCGGGATGAGTGACTTTGCATTTGTGGTTTTTCTTGAAATGCAGGTCGAAGTTGCAGAACCTCTGTCCAAACTTGGTCTTGAATTCCCAGACATATATCTTGGTATAAAATCTTTGCCTGTCTCATATCATTTTTAACTTCAAGAGCATGCAAAGTCTCTGTCTGAACGGCAGTCTTCTTCTCAGGGTGTTACCGGAAATCCAGACAAGGTCCTATTATCATCTGCTTGAAGGGAAAGGTATTAAACCAAGTATTTGGTTTCATTTCTTTCTTCAGTTCATTTTACAGGTTCTTAAGTTTGCTTTTTTTTTTCGGTTCGACAGAGTAATGCACGGATTGACTCAGCTGTACAGGCACTATGCAAGAAATTCAAAGAAAATGTGTTCGTAGAAATCAAATAGACACAAATAGTAAGTACGAGAGGCAGCTTCAATGGTCACTTGAAAGGCTTCTCTATGTACCGGTCACAGAACCAGAGGAAGTAACCAGAGGAAATAGGATCAGGATTTAGCACTCTTAAGGAATCCTAAGCAGTTATTGTGGCAAAAGAATAAGCAAAAACTTTAAATTAAATTGTCTTATCAACTTTTAAATTACTGAATTTGTAGGAAAGTAGCCCAAAAGGGTTTTGCATATTATACATTTTGTAGTGACCTGTTTAAGCATGATGATGATCTTATGTTGCATTCTACGAGACTTCAATCAGTAATTTGACTCTTTGCTATCTGATTTTATAAGACAAACATATTATTTAATCAATTACCTGAATTGTAATTTTGTACAGTCTACCCCTACGCCCTAACAACAGAGCAAAACACTTGAGATCATTGGAGATGTTGATATTAACACTTTAAATATGTGATCTGCTTCAGTTCCCAGTTCAAGCCGGTATCGATCATCTGAGAGCTCTGGATTGAATTCAACTCTATATGCGTAAAAGCAAGAGATCATCTGTCTACTTTGAGAATGTTGTTTGTGATGTGTCCTCTAGTAACCGAATCTCTTTGAGGATCCGTTGTCCATTGACCGTCTACGATGAACTTTATCTCGTACGTACCAGGATATAACCACAGTAATGTTGACCAGCATTTCCGTTTCCTGTAAAACATCATAGAAGCATACAATATGTGTAAGCAAACATTACACGAATCTTAAAGGAGTCCTTCACTTCGTTCACCATCACAAAAGGAATCTAAATGACGCGTCTAGAGACAGTGATTACTTGTTAAAAGGTAAAAATTTATAGAGTCAGGAACCAATACTAACCCGGTTGACTTGGATGCTTGAAGTTCAAGTCCCACTCGGTGTTCCCAGCCATTGAAGCTGCCAGTGACCTCCACAACATTACCATCTCCACAATATTCAATCTCAACCTGAAGAAAAAATTCACAAAGCTCTTGGCTTTCAGTGGTGAGGACTATGTAATTAGGGCTTTGGCACTTAGATTGGAACAATGACAATATGATAACTATGAAGCAGGTATATATCAAAATTAAAGCTACCTCTTGTAGTCCTAAAAGACTTTCCTCAGCTTCTTGCAATTCAACATCCTTCTCTGAGATAAGCATTTGGGCCTTTTGGATCTCTGTTTCAGCTTTTCTTTGAAGAACTGAAAGAGACAGCTAAACCCAGGAAATTGGAGATTAGGATCACAAACAAGTATCACCCTTTGCAAGAATAAGAGACTAGACAAACATCAAGGAGAGTATCATCCAAGCATTAAACATAGGCACAAGAAGTAAAATATTCAGAATTCAGCTACACCTCAAACATGTGAAGAATTCTAAAGGTCCATAAATGCAGATGGATAAATTATCAAGCAAACACCTATTACAGATGTATGGAATCTACCAATTTATGTGCCTTTTCGCTAGTGGATACCTAAGTACAAACTTACACGTTCCTGGAGAGTAGTAGCTTACCTTTTCCTTTTCAATCTGCTCCTTCAACCTTGACAGCTCCTGTTCCTTTTGACGCTAACCATGCAATAAATAACCAACAGAGTTAGCTAGCAAAATCCACTTCATATGTTCCACATATTGAGAGAAAGCAATTAATGTACCAGCATGAAACTCAGCCGAGTAATTTCAACCTGATTTTCCCGTTTCATAGTCTGCATCATTTCAGTACAAGGTTCTATGAGCATGAATAATGATATTAATTCAATAACTTAAAACCAATTTGAGATAGTTCAGTGAGCAGGATCTGTCAACACCTCATCATGTGAATCCTTGTCCAGGTCAGCATTCCCATCTCTCTGATCACTGTTCCTGTGAATGAGACATCAAGGATCACTTACAAAATGTAAATAATGATCAAGAGCAACAGACTAGACCTTCATGTTTAGACTCACCCGTTAGAGCTATTAACTTCTGTAGCATAGGTAATCTTCTCCAATGCTACGGCACTTCCATTTGGCGCCGTACTCGCACTTCTCTGAGTACCATGACTGTCTCCTATGTACTCACCACCTTTGGTTGTTTCTGCACTTTCTGTGGTTTCTTCAGGACAGCTTACATTCGGTATGTCATGTTCATCATCTGAAACGGATTCCAACTATCAATTAAGTTTTTCACCACAGGGGGAAAGGTTTACTACAGAACCATGCATGAATAACGAAGATATCGATATGACTTGC